TGAAGCAGAATAGGGATTTTTTTCATGGTAAAATAGCTTTTCTAAATTCATCCTGCCACATGTTGATAAGTCATGAAGGTGGAGAGGTTCCATCTCATTGATTCCCTACATCCAGGATGTAGGGAACCTTAAAAACTATGACTTGACAATATCTTACTGTTTATGTATGGGGCCAACAAAAACATACTACCTACTAACATTCAAGGGAAATTTGTTAAAAGAGAAAGTAATTATTATCTTAAGGGGATGGAGATGTTTGTGAAGCCGTGGTGTCGCACCAGTCTGAAGATGTGATCCACTAGATCTCAGGGTATTAGATTGTGGAATGATCTGGAGGTTGATATTAAAAATGCCAAAACTATGTACATATTCAAGAAGATGATAAAAATTTGTTTTTAAAAAAAATATTAAGTATAATGTGAGTTCATAAAAATTGTTTACAGTTGATCTTATATTTTAGCTAGGTTTTTATTTTTATTTATTTTTTTTATTAATTCATCTTGCTTTTGTATAGTAATTTTGTTTGGAATATATTTTGGGGACAAGGGGCAGATATTATAAGAACTCATTCTTCTTCTGCTGCCTTTCATTTTATTTCTGTGATTGTATATCTTTTTTCTTTTCTTTAAATTGTATTATATTTGTTGTTTGGATGAAATGAAATGAATAAATAAAACATACATACATACAACTAAAGTGTTTAGTATCCTGATGCATGCTCAGTGTTTAGTGTAAAAATCCAAATAACTGCATCAGACAGCACAACTCCATTCCTGATTTATACCTTCTTTTGTCCATGCCAGCGTGTTGCTTTTAGTTTCACTTTTATCAGCAAGCTCGTTCCTGATACAAAATGAAACGGATTCAAAGATCAGGATAATGCTCAGCTATCACAAGAATTGTATTTTTAGAGCGGTTAGTTGTTTAAGTCTGTTGGATATTTTTTATCTAGACTGGTTCTATGATTTTGATCTGCTCAGAGATGGGATTATAATGAAATTATGAACTGGTTCTGACTGGGTTAAACTGGGCCAGCAGCTCTAAGAGAGTCTCCCTGGGATTCAATGTCTGTCAAGGAATAGAGTTTAATCTGCCACATCACGTAGAAAGGCTTTTGAAGCACCAACTCATATTTCCTAACACATCAGAACCACATAAGATCCATTGAGATCACACTTAGTCACAACCCCTCATACATTGACAGGTTGAGCTCTCCTTCTGTGAAGGAGGAGTCTAGGACCCTATAAATGAGTAATGACACGGGACATCGGAGCTCTTCCGGTGTTATGATCGCGTCAAAGAACGGAGAGGCCAGCGCTGTAAACTGTAACCTTTTCCTACTTTGATTTTAATATAATTGATAAAACTTAATTGACGTTTCCTTGATTTATTGATATTGTGAGTTGCCACTTCTGAGGGAGATTCGAGCCAGTGGGAAAGACGTGGGCTGGAGGGGGTTTCAGGGTCCGGTGGCCTGCAGCCAGCTTCCGTCTTTAACAAGTCCTCCCACAAACCATGGCTCCATCACATCTACAATGATAGGACATTCTAATCATTCTAATAGACACAACAAGCTGAGGTGTCTTTAAATAGAAAGTGGTGGTGGTGGAGAATAATGACTCAACTCCAGTGTTGTATAAAGTACCTCAAAGTGATACTTCAGTGAAAGTACAAGTATCTTACCATAAAATTAATTTGGTAAAAGTTAAAGTCTCCTTTAAAATTATTACTTAAGTAAAAGACTTAAAGTATCGGACGTTTGATGTACTTAAGTATCAAAAGTAAATTTTTCTTATAAAATGCACTTAAAGTAAGAGTATTAAGTAAAAGTAAAAGGTTAGAATTTCCAAAACAACATTTATTGTTTGCAATATCCAGTGACAAAAACTTGGAAAGTCTGAACTGAACAATGAAAGATGAATCTTTAAAAATGAAAGATTGATCTTTAAAAAGTCTGTTTCTAATGAAGTATATTCATTCAACTTTTATTAACCTTTACTAACAAAGCTGTTAGAAAGCTCACGTTGTTGTGTAGTTGGCTTGTTCACTGAGCTCGGTTCTGTTTGGTTATGACTTGTTTCTTTCTGACTAATTAATAATATAGGATATATTATAGGATACTATAGTAGCATAAGAACTATTAGCTCCTATGCTCTTGAAGCAGTTCATGTCCTAGAGAACACCAAACTTCTCCTTTTTAGCAGCTTTCATCATTTTTACACCTATCAGGAATGTGTCTCTACTGTGAGTCAATAACGCTCTATTGTAACAATTGATATATGCATCTAGCTTGTTCACAGCAGGAGTTGCAGGTTTCACACAAACAGAGGGGGAGAGGCTGGGTTTGTGATTGACTTTGACTTCATGCGGCCACTTCTCTCTCACTCACCGACAGACTGGGAGAACAAACAGGCTTTGCCCAATCAGCTTTCTTCTAATTTTAAATTGTAGTAACCAGTAACTAAGATGGTTACGGGAAATGTATTGAAGAAAAAGTACACATTTATAGAGGAAATTTAGTGAAGTGTAGATGAACAGATGGTGCTGATAACGCCAAGGTCGCGGGTTCGATCCCCGTACGGGCCACCAGTTTGTAGATGAACAGATGCTGGGATATATTCATCATTTAACGCGGGTTCCTCATTTTTCTGGACTAAATAAAACGTGCATTGAATTTAAGGAAATGCAAAGTGAGACGTCATTTATATTTGACCCATCAAAATGAATGCGGTCATTTATTTACAGAATCAAATTTAACATCAAACATTTACATTAATTTGGCAAATTATGAAAATAACAATATAAGCAATCAATCAGGAAAAATCATACGGCCATGATTTTTCCGTTGCTGCACCACAGACATTTATAAAACTGTACAACTATGATCTTTTGCCCACATGAATGTGGGTGAGCATTTTACACAGACATTTCTAAATATCTGGAAGAATTTCTACTTGATAGAAAAGTTTAGAGATGGAAAGAAGTTTAGAGGGAGTTAAGATGGTATGTGAGGGAAATTAAGTGTTCACCAGAATCGACACTCTCCGGCTTTCTTCAGCTTTTCCTTACAGTACACTTAGGTGATGAAATCGGCTCCTTTACCTGGAGATGTCTCAGGTGAGATTCCGTTTAACGCACCCTTTCAGCGTCTCAGTAGGATGCTGTTACTCGTCCGAAGTAATGGCGAGGCTCTGTTCGACACATATTCACCTCAGTGGAAAATGTTATAATCCCATGGAACTCGGAAGAGCTTTGTTGTCATGTCAGGAACTCCAACAGCACTCCATCAGAACTTTAGCTCTCGTGTAGTTTACAGAACTCCCACAGAACTCTAGAAGTCTGACAACTCTCCAACTCCGTAACTCTCTGACTCTGTAAGACCAGGAAGTACTGACATTTTAAAGACTCTTTCCCGGTTCACTTTTTGGGATTTTTCATTGGTCAGAAACGACCAGACGGGGTGGGTTTTGTGACGTAAGAGGTTAGAGACAGCGAGAATTGTTATGGGACAGCTCAGAAATGTTCTCACAGACCGAGAGGGTTTTGTTGTGGCGTGTTTAAGAAACAGGTGCAAAACATCTCTATTTACGTCTGAGAGGATTCTAAAACATGACAGTTTTAACATAACAACTTGTTTTTCGTTTGACTGTAACCTTGTAAACGCACACACTTGCTCATTCAAAAGCAGAAATCAGAAAAATGCATAATTACTCTGCAACAGCTTTTAACATGAGAATAAAAATCATTACTCAGTTAATAAAATTGATTAGTTCACTGCAACATCTAAAATGGTTTGAACTAAGACACTTTGATTATCAACATTTGTAAGATAGTAATGATAATAAAAAGAGAGTGTTCTTTTCACTTGAATCTTCAAGAAAGAAAGTCTCAGGATGGGTGAACCTGTATTTATGTATTCAAATACATGAAATGACAGTTCCTGTCCCACAAGGTTCTAAAGGTCAAGAGTTTTGACCTTAGACTTAGTTTCGACGTAGGCCTAGTCCACTACAGAAGTAAAAAGTGAAAGTCGCTAGAAATGTAAATAACGAAGTAAAGTAAAAATAGGTCAAAATTCTACTTAAGTACAGAAACAAAGTATTTCTACTTTTTTACATTACAACAATGCTCAATTAAATTCAATTCAATTCAAAAATACTTTATTAATCTCAGAGGGAAACTAAGTCTTGTTGTAGCTCATCATCCTGGTTTAATGCAGGAGTTGATATAGATGCTGATAGCTGTGGGCAAGAATGAGCTCCTGCAGTGAATCCAAAGAATCTGGCCACAGATACTGATCGGTACACCCGGATCAAGCTTGATGTCAGATCCGGCGGGTCTCTCGGTCCTCCTGGGCAGTAGGACTGCCCAAATCCCGGACAGAATTCCTCCCTGAGTGATGGTCACTCCTCCCAGCAGTCTGCTGAGTTCCTCGTCACCACGGACAAACAGCTGAAGGTGTCGGGGGATGATCCCAGTCCTCATGTTGTCACGAGCAGAATTTCCCACCACCTCCAGGATCCTGGCAGTCAGGTACTCCAGCACCGCCGCCAGGTTGACGTAAATTCATCCACGGCGCCTCCTTTTCAACTCATTTGAGATTTGGGGCTGTAGCTGAGATATTATTTGAGGATTTGAGATGTTAATCAGCTGCTGCTGGTTGTTTAAAAAAAAAACACCTTGTTGCCATGGTTACACATCATAACAACTGTCTAAAAGTAAAAAGCTTTCAGTGAAAATCCTTCCAGCTGCACAGCATCTGATACCAGAGGAAGTAATTATCTGAACAAAGCGATTTAAATCCACAAAAAAGAGGAATTAAAGTTTTCAAAAGCAATAACTCAGAACTAATGTGACAGAGCTGCTCCAACATGCAGCCACCTCGAGCAGCGCAATTCTAGAACCATCACTGTACATCATCACTGATCAATCACTGTAAACTAATCTTTGTAACTGTTTGCACACAGATGGACTTTCACATTAAATATAGAAGCACTCACTTGATGACCCGCTTTCACCTGCTCCAGAACTTTGCTGTAACAAACTTCTTCTGTGTCGTGAATCTGCTGGATCTAAACAAGGCCACAAAAGAAAACATTTTCATAATTCAATATTCACCATAGACAAATAATCTGCTTTGGTTACAGAACATTCCCAATACTATATCGTTATTCTTTGTTAATCAAGTGATGACAAATGATCATCAGATCATTAAACTGTCTATGGAAACAGAACTATGAGCTTGTCTTTATGTAAAATATGTTAATATAGAAACAAGCAAAGCATTAGTGAATATACTCATGAATAGAGTAAACAGTATGAGTTAAGGCTACTAGTTTACCTTGTTGATGGTTTTAATGCCAACAAAGGTTTGTCCAAGAGGCACGGGTCTGAAGCGACTGTCAAAGAAAAACAGGCCGATGTAGGGGTTGACATGCAGGAAGGAGGCCACATCCAGATAGTTGGGCAGGGTGGCCGACAGTCCCAGAATCCTGATCATACTCTGCGTGGACTCCACCTGTCCATCAAACAACAGTGGAAAAGTTAAAGCACAGTTGTGTTTTCATCCAGAGACAAAGCTACATAACAATGGAACAGGTTCCTAAAACAGCCTCGTGACCAGCTTTCATATGGACGGGGTAATGAATGACACATTCTGGTGTAGCATAACCGGTCTACATGTGCTTTGTGGATTTGGAGAAGGCGTTGGACCGTGTCCCTCGGGGAACCCTGTGGGGGGTACTCTGGGAGTATGGGGTACCAGCCCTTTGATACGGGCTGTTAGGTCCCTGTACGACCGGTGTCAAAGCCTGGTCAGCATTGCCGACAGTAAGTCGGGCTCGTTCCCGGTGAGAGTTGGACTCCGCCAAGGTAGCCCTTTGTCACAGATTCTGTTCTTAGCATTTATGGACAGAATTTCTAGGCGCAGCCAAGGTGTTGAGGGGAACTGTTTTGGTGGCCTTAGGATTGCGTCTCTGCTTTTTACAGATGATGTAGTTTTATTGGCTTCATCAGATCGGGATCTACAGCTTTCGCTGGAGCAGTTCACAGCCGAGTGCGACACGGCCGGGATGAGGATCAGTTCCTCCAAATCCGAGGCCATGGTCTTGAGCCAGAAAATGGTAAAGTGCCCACTCCGGGTCAGAGAGGAGGTCCTGCCCCAAGTGGAGGAGTTCAAGTATCTTGGGGTCTTGTTCACGAATGAGGGAAAAATTGAACGTGAGATCGATAGGCGGATAGGTGCAGCATCTACAGTGAAGCGGGCGCTGTACAGGTCTGTCGTGGTGAAGATATAGCTGAGTCAAAAGGCGAAGCTCTAAATTTATCGATCAATCTATGTTCCTACCCTCATCTATGGTCAAGAGCTTTGGGTTGTGACCGAAAGAACGAGATCTCGAATACAAGCAGCCGAAATTAGTTTTCTCCGCAGGGTGTATGGGCTTTCCCTTAGAGATAGGGTGAGAAGCTTGATCATCCGGGAGGGACTCAGAGTAGAGCCGCTGCTTCTCCACGTTGAGAGATGCCAGTTGAGATGGCTCGGGCATCTGGTTAGGATGCCTCCTGGACGCCTCCCTGGTGAGGTGTTCCGGACACGTCCCACCAGGAGGAGACCCAGAGGAAGACCCAGGACATGCTGGAGGGACTATGTTTCTCGGCTGGCCTGGGAACGCCTCAAGATTCCCCCAGAGGAGCTGGCCCAAGTGGCTGGGGAGAGGGAAGTCTGGGCCTCTCAACTTAAGCTGCTACCCCCGCGACCTGACCCCAGATAAGCGGAAGAAAATGGATGTTTGGATGGACATTCTGTTGTGTTCAAAAAAGCACAATGAGCATCATCTGTAACAGCATTGAGGGAGCAACCATAGAGTTAAATGATCGCCACATATTATCTATTAATATGACAGGTTTAGGTAGCCTGTTGAAGCTGTGACTTTGTTAGGCAACTGACACACCTTGGCCTAGTAAACAGGGTGGACATCCTCCCTCCCAACCCTGGCAGTGTGAACCCACCATTTTGTACGCTATTCAGAGTATGGATGAGTTATTCTGAATCAAACACCAGCAACTGGTCTCCTTAGTTTCTAGACATTTAAAGACCATTGTTGACAGGAGACGAGAAGCTTCACACGGTCCAGTCCTAACCTCTTTCTTGTGTTTTCACTGTACAGTTTCTCACTTTCAACATTTAATGTTTATTATGCTACATAACAAATGAACTTTGGGTTTATAAAATGTGGAAGTTTGCTTTTTGTTTACACAATGCCTGAACTTCTAACAAAAGTTAAATTTTGTTACTTGAGGTTTGGTTTTTTGGTTTTCCCCCTAAATGTTTTGGAGTCTATGGCGAGAATCAACTGAAGGATTAGCTTTCTGCTTGGACAACCTTTTTTCCCACTAGGTCTGAGTTTGTGAGATCTTTGTCTCTTGTGGAGTTATTGAACGCCTTGTGTAGTTTAACCTGGTTTTGATGTACCCATTTAACAATTGGCTCTTTTTGTCCTTTGCTGATTTTTGATTTGGTAGACAACTGGAGACAGTTTGTCTGTTATCAGGTGGGGTCCAGTCCACCTGGGCATCAGTTTGCGGGCGAGAGTTCCGGTCCCGGACTCTCTTTTCCCGGTTGTGGGGGCGAACGTGTAGTACCAGACCCTATCTCCCACTTGGAGTTCCTCGTGAGAGGCCTTTTGGTCATAGTACGCCTTTCGTCCTTCAGCGGATTTTTCCAGGTTTTTCTGGGCAAACGCAAAGGTGTTTTTAAGGTGTTCTTCCAAGTCATTCATGTATTGTTGTGTGGTGTAGGCTGTTGCCATGGCGGCATCGCCTGGTTGGTACAACAGGTGTAGAGGGAGAGTCATTTGTCGACCAGTCATCATCTCGAAAAGAGAGATGCCAGTCGATGTGTGTGGAGTGGCCCTTATGGCCATAAGGACCAGAGGGAGTTTCACGTCCCAGTCCTTGTGGTTTGAAGTTTGGATGATGTCTGGGTCAGTCAGCATAGGTTGTACAGAGACTGTGTTGTCAGCCGGCTTGGCTGCAGCCTGTGCACGTGTGACTGCCATTACCTCGGCTGTAGGTTGTACTGACAGAGTTGCGAGCAGCCAGGAGGGGTCAAAGGACCACGTAGGGCCGTCCACGGCTCTGTCCTTGGCTAGGAAGTCTGCAAGGTCATTATACCGCTTGTCATCGCCTAGGACTCTTGAATGTCCTAGAACCTTTTTCCAGTAGACCTGTAGGTCATGTGATGTCACCAAGTGATCACATACCATGAAAAGCTCTTTGTGTTTGACCACTTTCTTGATGCTTGTGAGAAAGCTGTTCTGTTTCCACAGAGCGAGATGACACAAGAAACTAAGTCGAGCGTAATTAGAGTCCATGCAGATGACTAGCGTTTGGATGGAGCGTTCTACTGCCATCTGGAGAGCTATTAGGATTCCTGCTATCTCAGCGTACTGAGAAGTCTGAGAGCCTAATTTATAGCTAAAAGTGACCTCTTGTTGGTCTGGGAGGAGAATCCCTCTAACACCTGATTTGCAGGTTTGTTTGTGGTGGAATGAGCATCCATCCACATACAATGTTGTCATATCTTTGCAGATATTGCTATCAAAGTAGTGGTGATTCGGGTCATCACTTACTGAGGGTTTTTCCGCACCTGGCGGATGGGTGGCAGGTACATCTTGTGTACACTCCTGGCAGAGTGCCAGGTCGGTGCCCAAATGTGACTTCTTGTTTTGTCCGTAGCGGATGTCTAGGTCAAAACTTTGAAGCGCCATGAGCCACGTGGCTACCTGTGACTTTGTCACCACACCATCTCTGATGCGTTGGCTATTCAGGAAAGTTACTGGCTGGTGTTGTGTTTTAACAATGATTTTTTTGTCCACCGATGTAACTGGAGGTGTTTAACTGCCCACACAGTGGTCAGTAGAGCTTTCTCACAGTCTGAGAACTTTAATTCGGAGCCTGCCATTGTCTTACTGCCACCACACACTTGTCTTTGTCGTGCATCTGGTACAGACCTGCACTCATGCAGTGAGCTGAAAAGCCCACTTCCAGGTGAAACTCTTTGTTGTAGTCTGGATAGACTAGACATGGGGCTGACTTGAGTCTGTCCCTGAGAGCGTTCATTGCCTGCTGTTGGTTATCAGTCCAGACAAATGGGACGTCTTTCTTTAAGAGTTCAGTCAGTGGTTTCACAAGGTCTGCATAGTTCTCTATGAATTGGCGTGAGTAGTTACACACGCCCAGAAAACTTTGTAGTTCTCTGAGATTGGTGGGGACTTTGAGATTGTCTAGGCCTTGGGTGCGAGTCAATTGTGGTTGTACTCTTTCTGGACCTACTAGTAGGCCAACGTAGTCCACCTTGGTCCTGCACCACTGGCATTTTGACAGTGAGATTTTAGCACCAGCAGTAATCAGTTGATTCAGAACGTGGTCGATCTCAGCCAAGTGTAAGTCCAGTGTTGAATGCCTCAAAAGGACATCGTCCACGTAGATCAGCGTCCCACGTTCATGGGCATCTGGACATGCTTTTTTCAAAAAGAAGTTGAACTCAGCTGGTGAGTTAGCGTAGCCAAAGGGGCACCTGGTGAAGGTGTATTGTCGGCTACCAAAAGTGAAAGCTAGTTTGTGTTGGTCCTCGGCGCGCACAGGAATGGTCCAAAAACCAGAGGCGACGTCGAGGGTGGAAAAGTACTTACCATCAGTGACCTTGGGTAGTTCCTGTTGGATCTGGGTCATTGGCCACCTAGATAAAGGAACTTGTTTGTTTAGCTTTCTGTAGTCTATGGTAAGTCTCCACTTACCATTTGGTTTCAAAACTGGCCATAAAGGCACAGAGTAGGTGCTATTACAATGTCTGATTATGCCTTTATCTAAAAGGTCATCAATGATTGCTTTGACAGGTTGATGTGCTGCCAGGGGAAACTTGTATTGTCTGACAAATGTAAGCGGTGAGTTTGGCGGAGTTGGGGTGCTCACTGTGTGGAGCGAGGTCAACCCACAATCCATTGAGTCAGTCGAGAATGACTTCTCATATTTCATGAGAACTTGGCGGAGTTTGTCCCTTTCTTCATCAGTCGTCAGGGTGTCGGCTTGGGCGACCACCTGTTCAATCTGTGAAGCGATTGTCAAGGGTTCTTGATGTTTGAGGAGCTCCAATGAGTCTCTTTCTGTGCCGTTAAGACCTGTCTATAGGTAGGACACTATAGGTTTGAGGTCCTGAATCGACATCATTGGTTGAGAAGAGAGCTATGGCCTGTGTTGGTTTCGTGAACCAAACTGGACCAGTCTCTTGACTCGATACCAGGTTGTCTGGGAGTCCTCCCAGAAATAGAATGCCAAGATCAAAATCATGAAAATCTGTGGAGATCAACCATCCTAGCCTTGTGTTTCTCGGGATCCGTACCTCCTCTGTGCCTGTGTTGCACACAGCAACAGATGTGGTTCTGGAGTCGAGGCTCACTTGGCTTGCAGCCTCAATGGACAGTCCTAGTTTGAAAAACGTAGGAAATGGTTGAAAGTACA